TTATGTGTGTGTTCTAACCATATTACAAAATGTATATGATGCCTTTGTCTTTTGGAGAGAAAGAATTTGTTAAAATGCAATATTTTCTTTTCAGAGTTCAACTGAAAGATGTACAACGAGACAACACTAACATTCACAATGACTGCATATGCTGTCATGGAAAACTACAAGTACTGGATGTTTATTCTATTCCTCCTGATTTATCTCACTATTATCTTTTTGAACGTACTGCTCATTACTGTCATAAGCCAAAACAAAGAGTTGCATCAGCCCATGAATGTGTTCCCTTGTATATTATCCATCAATGAAATATATGGCAGCACCGCGTTGTTACCCACAATAATGGCTGTGCTCTTATCTGAGACACATGAAATAACCATAAAGTGGTGCATCGCTCAAGTCTATTTCTTGCACACATATGCATGTGCTGAATTTTGCATTTTAGCTGCTATGGGATACGACAGGTTTGTTGCCATCTGTAACCCACTGCATTACCACAGCATCATATCTAATTCAAAGGCAGGCAAGCTTGCTGTATTAGCAGGCATATACCCAGCTGTTGTGTTTGGAGGTTTCTACTCACTGACCATACGGCTGAGATTCTGTGGGAAAGTGCTGCCGAAACTGTACTGTGTGAACATGGAACTGGTCAAAAACTCCTGTTCGCCTCCACCGTACATAAGCATTGTGGGACTTGTACTTATTATGTTTACTGTTTTGCCCCAGATCATGATGATAGTTTTCTCTTATGCACAAATTTCAAGAGTGTGTCGGAAGTTGTCGAGACAATCTCAGCGCAACGCTTTCAAAACATGCCTCCCACATTTATTATCGTTGACAAACTACACCATCGCCTCCTTATTTGAAATTGTCCAATCCAGATTTAACATGAGTCATTTAGCTGTTGAGGCACGCATCTTCCTGTCTTTGTACTTTGTTATCCTTCCACCCATTACCAACCCCATGCTGTATGGGCTCGGTACTCAAATGGTCAGAGTTACTCTACTGAAACTGTTTTTTAGGTATAAGATGCTGCCGACACTGTTAGCAAAGGCAGTGACTATAGCTTCTGTATAGACTATTACCTCTTT